CTGAATTGTCTCCCCCCCTTTGCGATGTGAACTCAGCTTGCACCGGCGGCAGCCTGGATGGGGCCATTTTGAGTGGTATGGTTTTGTGTTTTGTGGGCTCGCACGGGAGGCGGGATCCTCCTCGCTCGCCCAAACCAGAAAAGGGGACCCATCAAGCTGTGGCATCGGTAGCACTTGCTATCGGTGAGCTTAAATGCGCTGGTGGGGGACCTCACCCCCCACCACTTTGTTGAGAAGAAACGAGAATTTGGTTCACCTAAGCACTAGGGCAGGGAAACAAATGGCGCGATTACGGCGTTTTTTTAGGTCGTGACTTCGGGGACGCGACTGTGGAGTAATTGACAAGGGATCGTTGCATCGGGGACGCGATCAATATGTACCACACGACCACCCTTCGGGTGATAAGGATGTTGGGGGGTAGAAAAACAACCAAATGATGGCAATCTTGGTGACTGATGGCAATCTTGGTGGTTGTGATGAGGATGCCAGTGATGCGCCGTCGGTGTCCCGTCTGTTGGAGCACTTTCAGCTGCCGCCAGCGTCGGTGTCCCGACGATCTCCCAGTCGATGTCACCGCCGATCTGCCAGTCGAATTCATCATCGATCTCACAATCAGACCCACTATCGACCTCTAACAGTTCTTATTGTCAACCTCACATCCGATGTCCCAATCGATCTCGCAATCTATCTCATGACCGATATCACTGTTGATCCCACTTTGATCCAACAGGCGGTCTCACCATCGATCTCACAACAGATTTCACGATCGATCACACAGGGGATCTCACGACCGATCTCACAATCGATCTCGCCGCCCTGCTCCGGGACACTGACTCGCGCCGCCATGCTCCGGGACACGGAATACCGACGGGACATTGACGCGCCACCGATGGGACATCCCCAGCCACCGCGCGCCGAGGGGGGGACGGGCGGACAACCGGCTCCACAGCCCTTAGCCGCGGTGGCATCATTCCTCTCGCGCGCCCACGTAGCCTCGCCTCGCCCCCACGCGCGGCACGAACACGACGCCCAAAACTGATTTCCCGTTGGGGGGCCCTCCAGTCCACTGCGATCTCACCCCCAATCTCCGATTTACAATGTAGAAGGGATCTTGGTCGCGGGGACGCGAATACAGCATAATATGCAAGGGACCTTTGCACCGTTGACGCGAATATGGAATAATTTACAAAAATGATAGTGGCTGCGGGGACGCGAATGCAGTGTTTTTAAAGGGATCGTGGCCTCGGGGACGCGAAGATTGTGTATATTGCGAGAGATGGTAACCTCGGTGGCACGAATCTTGTGTATTTTTTTGTGTCGCAAGGCTCCGCAGGAAATTCTGGGAACCCCAGTGGGGTTGCGCTAAAAGGACGGCTGTCGGCCCCCCGTCCCCTCCATCGTCCCCCCCTTCGCGCGGGTAGCAACAAGGTGCAGTAGAAGTAGAACGTTGAACAATAGCATGGGAGACTGTAAACTGCAATTGGACCAGGGAGCACCAAACCTCCGCCACGCAGCCTGTTGGCCCCACACGGGGGCCGACGGAATGATTGCTGTTATTGTGGATTACAATTTCGACATTAACCAGAGTGACGGGGCTGAGCGGTCAGTCGTTGTCCCTAGGTGAAAGGCTGAAATCTAGCTCCGTTGCGCGGATCATTATTGGTGTTGTGTTATTACGTCGTGCGTTCGAGTTGTATTTCTGTAAAGTAATGTGTGTTGCTTCCCGCCTTGTGCCCATTGTGTTATGTCTATTCAAGTGTTATTCTCGAAGCTCGCATTTTGCTTCCTCATGGGAATTTTGCGCCTCAGATTGGGTTGCTGGACCCCGCACTACCACAACAACGGTTCCCGCTTCATACTTCGTCGAAACAATTTGCACATTGTGTTCTCACGCGGTACATTTTCACACTGTATGCAGGAATCGCGCTCTCGCGTGGTATTCCTTTGGGATTTCTTGGATAGCCGCGCCTCCAGCAATCAGGAATCGCGCTCTCGTTGTAGATCCCCTGACGGAATACAGTGGAGACCCATGCCATCAAACACAAAGCTTGCTCCCAGGGTGCCCTGGGGTTCTTGGGTGCCGATGGTTTTGCCGTGGAGAGCGTGACGCTCCCACGACAAAATGAATGGACGCCTTGGGGTCCCAAGGCTTCTTGTGGGACGGTTCTTGTGGGACGGTTTTGCGGACGGTTTCTTGTGGAAGGTTTCTTGTGGGCGAGCCCTTGTTGTACTTGCGAATCGCGCTGGCTGTCGCTCGATACCCCCTCGCGACTCGTGCGGGACCGACGCCTCGGCGGCCCGCCCGCCCGACACGACCGCTTGGGCCCTGCACCGCCCTGCCGCGCTCGATCCCGCCCGTCTGGTTCCGCCGCCTGTGCTTCTGCTCCTGCAGCGGAGTCCTCTCAGTGGAGGCCCATGCGCAGAAACACCCTGCTTGCCTCCAGGAGGCGGAAGAGGGGGGAGTAGGGAGTAGGGAGGAGGAGGAGGAGGAGGAGGAGGGGTTGGAGGAGCTTCGGAGGAAGACGAGGAGGGCTGCGCCCTCGCATTCGTCGCCCCCAGTCGTCGCCATCGATTCTCGCCCTCGCGCCCACGTACAGTGGGGGCCCATGCCAAGAAACACCCTGCTTGCCTCCAGGGTGCTCTGGATTTCTGAGGTTTCGATGGTTTTGCCATGGAGGGCGTGGGTTTTCCCACGCCAGAAATCCATGGACTTCCTGGGGTCTCGGGGTTGGGCTACTTGTGGAAGGTTTTTTGGGGGACTGGCCTACACTGCAGCCCGTGTTCCATCGTTCTTTCTCTTTTTTCAGGGGTTGCGCGAATTACTGCTGACCAGAGCCACAGTATATTACCAGAAACATTGTTTCCATAATGGTTCCATTGTCCTGCAATTGCGCAGGATCGGGAGTTGGGTTGTATTTTCCCACCAAAAGGCGGGGGGGGGAAGTATTGTGGTGCTGGTAAGGAGTTCGCACAAGGGAACCACGAACGCGGTGAGGGGGAGTATTCGAACCCGTGCAACTTTGTTGATGGTGCGCTGGCGACTAGTGCAGCCTGTTTGATTGGTAGCCGACGAGTTGTGCAACTATGTTCGTGCTGTCGGCCCGGGCTCAGTCTTCCAATGTGTGCAGCTTGTTTGCTTGAGAATTTGCGACTTGTGCAGGTTGTTTGCTTGGGGACCAACGAGGTGTGCAAGCTTTTCTGATTTGTCGGCTCGGGCTCGGTTTTCGAATTTCCCAGCCTTTTTGCATGAGGGTTGGCGATGTGTGCAGCTTGTTTATTGGGAACCGGCAAGATGTGCAAGCTGTTTCGTTGTGTCGGCTCGGGCTATGTTTTCGAACATGTGTCCCTTTTTTGAAGGGTATTTGGCGACTTATTCAGCTTGAGCGATTGGGAACCGTCGAGTTGTGCAACCTTGTTCGTGCTGTCGGCCCAGGCTCGGTTTTTGAATTTGTGCAGTTTTTGTAATTGAGAACTGTCGACTTGTGCAGCGTCTTCGATTGGGCACCTACGAGTTGCGCAACTGGTTTGTTTTTGTCGCCTCGGGCTCGATGTTCAAATGTGTGCAGTTTGTGTTGCGTGCAACTTGTTTGGTTGGGAACCGACGAGTTGTGCAACCTTCTTCCGTTATATCGGCTTCCGGGCTCGGCTTTCCAATTTGTAGAGCTTGTTTGGCGGCGACGTGTGCAGCGTGTTCGATTTGGAACCGACGAGTTGCGCAACGTTTTGCGTTTTGTTGGTTCCGGCTCGGTTTTCGAATTTGTGTTATTGCTTGATTTAGAATTGGCGATTTGTGCAGCTTGTTTGGCTGGGAACCGACGAGTTGTGCAATTTGTTGTTGTTTTGTCGGCTCGGGTTCCTCTTTCAATTTTGTGCAGTTTTTTTAGTTTTAGAATTGGCGACTTGTGCAACTTGTTTCACTGGGAAGTGCTGAGTTGTGCAATTTGTTTCGTTTTGTCGGCTCGGGTTCGGTTTTCGAACCTGTGCATTTCTTTGCTGAGAGATGGCGACTTGTGCAGCTCGTTCGATTGGGAACCCAGGAGTTGTGCAACTTTGTCGGATTTGCCAGCTCGGGCTCGCGGACGCCCTGAGCTCGCGGGGCCTTTGTTGGAATCCGCGCACGGACTTCACATTGCCAGCAGAATTGTTCAGTAAATCTAGATGGTACTATTAATTTCAGACATACGCGTGTCAGGTAATGAGTATATACACCCCCTAATGGGTTTTTTCCTCCCCAGGGTAACGCTTGTTACCTGCCCCCCCGCCTCACGGGTAACGCTAGTGTTCGCACGGGGGGTTGACCCCCCCTCTTACATGGCATGGTGCGCGCAGGCGATTGATGCGCCTGTGGCGCGGACGCACCCTGGCGGGTGCACGCCGCGGCCGCCGTTACCGTTGCCTTCCCGCCTGACCCCCCCTGGGCAACGAGCGTTACCCAGCAATGACAACATGCCACCAAGTGGGTAGGATGGAAGACGATACGCGGGCACATAAGAACGAACAAATTTTTAAATTACTGTTGTTGTCGTTGTCGTCTTCCCCCCGCGACCCACCCGCGACCAACCCTCACTCTTATGCGAAACCGCGGGGTGCTACGCTTTAGTATCACTGATACCGTCTCCTACTTATTACTACTACGACGGCCACAATCACTATCAACATGAACCTGCTATTGTTATTTGTTCTATTCCGAGTAATAGGGCTGATACTAAATTTACTATTAGAATTGTGTTTGCGAGTACTCATACTACGGGAACCAAATGGGGCCAACGTCGCCCAGCGTATGCCAGATCGGGCAACGCACCCACTCCCTTGTCAGACAAGTTGTTGTGCAGATACTTTTCCCGAGGTTCGTTTGGATCTCTTGGACCCGCGGTGGAAGCCCCTCCCTGGCGCGCCGTGGCGCCGCAGGCGCCGCCAGCTGGGGCTCCAGCGCCGATCCGAGAAGCCCTCGCGGACTTCGGGAGGTTTATGCCTGTGCGTGGCGGTCTCTTCCCATCTAGGCCAGCGCCCGCGGGGACCTGTCGCCGGGGCGGCGCAGCCAGTTCTCCGGCGGTCGGAGGAAAATATCGGAGGCGACGATAAGGGCGATTAGCCCAGGGAGGAGCAATACATGTAATCCGGGGGCGCCGATGATCTATGTCTTCGACGAGGCTCCCGTGCGAATACGTGTAATGCCCGCCTCTGGGCTACTCGCCCCTATCGTCGCCGCCGAAAACATGCGACCCCACCAACGGTGCCACCTCCAGCGAGGAGGTCCACGATGCCTCCCCGAGCTGAAGCTGGCTTCGCACTGGGACCAGTCTGGGCCAATCAGGCCCCATGACCTTCTCTAATCGGGCCTATGGTATCGCAGGAATCTGCTCCCACCCAATCCCCAAGTTTCGCCCGAACATTTTGGCCCTTACGAAAAAAGGAGGAATCCCTGGGATACACCCCTGGGGGGGCTATTCGGGCGCACCCCCATCGAGGGTGGACGTCCCCCCTCGTGTATCCCAGGACTGGGCCCCAAATTGTTGGTCCTTTCGAAAAACCCACGAAGCTTGGCAAAAAGGTCGCCACATCCCCCTGTCATAGTAGCCTCCCAGGAGTTGCCGCCTCCTCTGGTGTCACTTTTCCTTGTCCTCCTGCAAGGCGGGCCCGACTCCCCTGCGAGCTCCCGGCGCTCCCCGGGGTCCCGGCGGAACAGCGGCGCTAGCGGCCGCTCGCCCAAGGGCGGCCGCCGCGGCAAGGGCAGCACGCACGCCAGCGAGCCGCCGCCGGAGCGCGGCGTGGGGGAAGTGACGAACGGACACGATGGGGTCGGAGTCGATGAGGTTGGAGGATCGCGCCGCATCGCCGATGCATCGCCGATGCGACTCGATGTGGAGCCCGATTTGCTTTACGTCGACGTCGCCGATTCGTCGCCGACCCCGTGCATCCCCGATGCATCGCCGATGCATCGGCGATGTGGCGGGATTCTCCGACACCATCAACTCCGACCACCCCATCTAGGAGGCCTCTACTAGGTGGGGTGGAGGGGGCTATGGGTGCGTCTTGTCGGATGGAGGTCCCCGCTCGAGCGGGAGCCTCCCCCGGAGTCCGACAATCCGCACCCATATCCATAGCAAGTCCTCCTCCCTCCGACCCCCCTATGGGTACGGGTGTGTGTGCGTTGTTCTCTCGTCAGGAAGACCAGCCAAGCTCTGCCCTGCCAAGTCGATTGGCGAATTGCCCCGTTTCGGATTCCGAAAGGGCGTTGCGGCCACAGTGTTTGCCAGCCTGCGCCCGCTGAATCTGGTCCTGGGTCGTTTTCACTGGAGGGTAATTTTCGGAAGGAGTTGCTGTCCCCCCCGAAAACACATTTGCGGCAGGGGGAAAATAAGGGGGGGGGGGTAGGCTCGTCTCTAGCATCGGCGTCGTCGACGATGTCGTGGTCGTCGGCGATTTGGAGGGTCGTCCAGTGGCAACCTCCCCCGTGAAGCTTTATTTCCGTGAGGCTCATTGGCAACGTCATTGCGGGATAGTCTAGGCTCCCACATGCGAAGAGTCATCGCCGATGCATCGACGACGTCGCCGATGCATCGGCGATGCATTGGCGATGTGGCGTGATCCTCCGACCCCATCTACTCGGACGCATTCGGGAGAGCTCTAGTCGAGTGGGATGAGCTCAGGCTTCGAAGATCGAGTGTCGAGGTTTTCGGACGTTTCCGCCGCCGCCGCCGAGCACACCTGCGAGTCGCCGACATCGTCGACGACGACGGTCGGCGATATGGAGGAGGCTTCCAGGTGGGGCAACGTTAGGGGGCATTCATCGACGAACGACGACGACTACGAGCGACGATGTTTTGAGGTTGTTTCCCGACGTTTCGAACGTTTTCGAGGACCAGGGTGGTTTCTATCAGCTGCGCCTCGTCGATGGCTTCCCGAACGGCCGTCAGAGTCCGGAGTTTGGGGCAATGTTGCGGGGAGGATAAGTTCAGGGGGGGACGAATCGACTCCCAACCGCCCCTTGATCGCCGACAGGGGCTCGATGGCCCACTTCGCCCAGGGCCATGCGGTTTTGCTATCGGGGGGCCGTCGCCGATCCATCGGCGATGTATTGCAAATTCTTTACGCTTCGCGTATCCCCACCAGCCCATCTCACAGCAGCAACTCTCGCGAAGCATGCCGACAGTCGTGTTTTTCAGGCGTGTGTCCGCTTGGCCCCGCATATCTCCCCTGTTCCTCCTTCCTCCCGCCTCCTTGTACATCCTCCTTGTGAGGGGAGCGGGAGAAGGACGAGGCGGAGGAGGAGGGAGAGAAAGCGCTCCTCGTGATTTGAGTCGTTTGGGGTTTCTCGTCCTGGTGTGAGTCGTTCGGGCCCTTCTTCCTGGTGTGAGTCGTTCGGGCTCTTCGTGGTGTGAGTCGTTCGGGCTCTTCGTCCTGGTGTGAGTCGTTCGGGCTTCTCGTGGTGTGAGTTGTTCGGGCCCCTCATCCTGGTGTGAGTCGTTCGGGCCCCTCCTCCTGGTGTGACTCGTTCGGGCTCCTCGTGGTGTGAGTCGTTCGGGGCCCGCGTCGTGGTGTGAGTCCTTCGGGCTCCTCGTGGTGTGAGTCGTTCGGGCGCCTCGTCCTGGTGTGAGTCGTTCGGGCCCCTCCTTGTGGTGTGAGTCGTTCGGGCTCTTCGTGGTGTGAGTCGTTCGGGCCCCTCGTCCTGGTGTGAGTCGTTCGGGCTCCTCGTGGGGCCTCTTGGGGGCCTCTTGGAGCCTCGTGGGGCCTCTTGGGGGCCTCTTGGGGGCCTCTTGGGGGCCTCTTGGGGGCCTCTTGGGGCCTCTTGGGGCCTCTTGGGGGCCTCTTGGGGGCCTCTTGGGGGCCTCTTGGGGCCGCTTGGGGGCCTCTGGGGGGCCTCTTGGAGGCCTCTTGGGAGCCTCCTGGGGGCCTCTTGGGGGCCTCTTGGGAGCCTCCTTGCGGGGCCTCTTGCGACCTCCGCAGAAGCGCAAAGGAGAGCTGCCCCCTGAGAAGGACAACGTGAGCCCAAAACCTTCGTAAAATCAATGATTTTGCTTATGAGGGAAGATGAGCGCTGCCCCCTCAGAAGGCCAAAATGGGGCCAAAACCCTAGTAAATCAATGATTTCTGCTTCAAAGACGAGCAGAGGGGCCAAACTCCCCCCCCCCCCCCCGGGGCCAGAATCCTTGTGAGGGTCGTCGTTTTTTGGCCCTCCCAGGCGTAGAAAAAGACCCTTTTGACACCACTCGGCCCGCCCTCTCCAGGTCCAGGGGAGGGGGTAGGGGGAGGGGTAAACCCCTCCCCGAAGGGGAAGATAGGGGGTTAGGGGGTTGAGAACAGAGCGGGCTCTCTAAACCACTCACGCCCAAAGGGCTGGTGGGATTCCAGGTCCGTGTTTCCCCCCCCCGAGCCAGCAGTCCCCCCCTGTCGTTGCCTCTCCCTTCGGCGATAATAATCCCAGATCTCCGATGATCTGTTTATTTCAATCGCTTCGCTCATTCCGCCGGCCCATATTGTAGCATCGCTGGCACTTGCTTGCGTGCTTGGGGGGTCATTTGGGCGGCCTCCTGGGGCCGCTTGGGGGCTTCTTGAGAGCCTCCTGAGGGCCTCGTGGGGGCATCTTAGGGCCTCTTGGGGGCCAATTGGGGGGCCTCTTGGGAGCCTTTCGGGGGCCTCTTGGGCGCTCCTGGGGGCCTCTCGGGGCCGAGGGCTCGAAATATCCGCGCGGGTCTCCCGTTTGGCCCCCCTCTTGGAGCCGTATTGAGGGTCTCTTGGGCTGTCTTAGAGGCCTTTTGGGTCGTCTTGGGGCCCTCTGGGGCGGTTTTTGGGCCCTCTTGGGAGCCTCTTGGACCGTCTTTGGGCGATCTTGGGGCCTCTTGTGCTGTTTTTGACGCAGTGAAAGCTCAAGTGGCGAATATGCTAAACATATACGTTTTGCTTAAGGAATGAGACGATTTTTGCCTCTTGGGGCCCTCTTGGGACGCCTCTTGGGTTCCTCTTGGGGCGTCTGAGAGCCATCTTCGTCTTGAAGCGAGCGTGTGGCATCTCGGAGCACTCATGAACCATATTGGGGGACTCTTGGCGGCCTCGGGGCCCTTCTTGGGGCTCTCTGGAGGGCCTCGCCCATGAGGAAAACCATCTCTGAGTCGGGAAGCCCTGGACCTGCCCGAGACCTTGCCGGGTATTGTGAAGGTCTTACGGCCGGTGCCGCCGACCCTGAAGGTTTTGGCCGTCGATGGCGACGAGATGTGTGATCACAGGAAGGAGCTAAAGGACAACGTGACAGGGTAGGCGGAGGAAGTGTGTGAGGAGGAGGGTTTTGTGTCGCACTGGGTCACGTTGCTTTGTATTGTTTTGCATTGTTTTGCGTTGCTCTGCGCCACCTAGACTGCATCACACGGATTGCACCCCTTAGATTTCACACACAGATTGCACGTGCATTGCACCACCCAGATTGCACAGCACATATTGCAAACATTCTCAGCATTGTTGTCGGTGCTAAGAGTACGGCCAGGTCGGCGGCGCCGAAGGTGTGCTTTCGTTAGGCGGTTGGGGCTCGCGGGCACGGCCCAGGCGCAGCTCGACAGAGATCGGGCGCGCACGGGCCTCGGTAGACGCTGCGCGGATCTGGGCCTGGGGGGCGGCCTTCGAAGGAGGCAGGGAGCCTTCTTCGGCTACGCGCAAGAGTGACCTCGATGGAGTGACCGTTGGTGCGGGCCTCACTGGGGTTCCCCCAGCACCCCAGGACTGGCTTGCGCGCTTGGATTGGGCGCACCCCGTGGCCCCCTGATATCGCCTGGAAAATGCGCACCGCAAGTCACTCCTGCGGCGGCGGCGACGATGACGACGACGACGACGACGACGACGACGGCGAGCACGACGACGACGACGACGATGACGACGACGGCGGCGGCCCAGGTCGCTCACCTCAACGCCCTGCCTGCCTGGGGCCACTCCTGCGCGGAGCCGACGGGGACCTTGGGCAGCGAGTGCACCCAGGGGGCCCCGAAGACAGCCGACGCCTCGCGCGTCGCGGCCCGGGCCGGGGAGCTGTCCCTCTGCGGGGGGCGGCGGTGCTGGATCGGCGGTTGCTACAGGTACCCCTGGCCCAAAGTGCCCCCAGCTTTTCGCTCCATCTTGGGACACCTTGGGCCCTCTTGGCCTCGTGAGGGGTGCTCTGGAGTCCGTGGGGCCTCCTTGGAAATCCTGGGGGCACCTTGGGCCAGGGGCACTTCTGGCAACACCCGACTGGAGGGCGCGAGGGCAGCCTCGCGGACGGCGCACCACGGGGCCACGGTGTGCGCGAAGGCGGGTGGCCCAGAGACGGCAGGCGCAGGCTTCCGCGGCGGTTCCTCGGGGAGGTCGCGCCCCTCGCCCCTGATGCCGCGGCGGGGGGGGGGGGCCTCGGGGTGGGGGGTTTCTTCGAAGGGCTCAGGCGACCCGTTCCTCCCTCCTCCTCCTCCTCTCCTCCTCCTCCTCCTCCTCCTCCTGCTCCTCCATCTCCTCCTCCTCCCCCTCCCCCTCCTCTTCCCCCTCCCCCCATCCCTCTCCTCCTCCTCCTCCTCCTCCTCCATATCCTCCTCCTCCCCTCCTCTCCCCTCTCCTCTCCTCCTCCTCCCCTCCCCCTCCTCCTCCCCCTTCCCCTCCTCCTCCTCCTCTCCTCCTCCTCCTCCTCCTCCTCCTCCTCCTCCTCTCTCCTCGACCTCCTCCTCCTCCTCCTCCTCCTCCTCCTCCTCCTCCACCTCGGGTCGCCTACGGCCCCAGGGGACACCGTGCACCTCGGGGGGGTCGAGCTCCTGGGGGCCGCGGCAGGCGGCGGACCCCAGGCCGTCTTGCTACGCTGGCGGCGCGCAGCAGGGGGGCAGGGCGAGGGGGGCGGCCTCCTCAGAGGGGAGGGGGAGGAGGAGGAGGAGGAGGAGGAGGAGGAGGAGGAGGAGGAGGAGGAGGAGGAGGAGGAGAAGGCGGAGGCGGAGGCGGAGGCGGAGGAGGAGGAGTAGGAGGAGAAGGATCGAGGGTCCTTCTGGGAGGTGTGTCGGGCCACCGCGCCTGTGCAACAGTGCAGCAGGAAGGAGGCTGAGTGCAGGAGGAGCGCCATCCTGGCGAGCAGTCTGCACTGGGGCCACAGCCACCGCTGGCCGAGCCCGCGGGAATCGATCCCCCAGAATTGGGTCATGGACAGATGCCCCGCTCGCACAGAGAGATGGCAGCGCAGGTCTCCGAGACGGCTCTTCAGAAGGCCTCACCCCTCGCCAGAAACGCCTCGAGCAGAAAAGGAAATCGGCGCGCGCCGCCGAGGAGCCGAAGGGAACAGCGGCCATCTGTGGGCCCAGGCTGCTGCAGGCGTTCGAGGCGAACCCGCCGGTGCTGCAGAAGGTGCGCGCGTCGCTGCAGGACCCACGGAGCATTGGTGGTGGAAAGTGGGTAAGTTCGGACCTACATGTTCCAATATCTAGTGGCCTGCGGCCCATCGCGCCACCTTGCCTGTGTTGTGGGTCGTAGGCCTTTCGGATGTTCGTTTGGATGTCGCGGGGGGCCTCTTGGGGGTCGCTTGGAGGCCTCTTGGGAGCTGTTTTGGGCCTCTTCGGGCGTCTTGAGGGCCTCTTCGGGCGTCTTGAGGGTCTCTTCGGGCGTCTGGAGGGCCTCTTGGGGGTCTCTTGGGGCCTCTTGGGGGCCTCTTGGCGCCTCCTGGGGGCACTCCAGGTTCCCGATTGAAAGATGGGTATGGGAAGTTGGGAGGAGACAACAACCGAGAAAATATTTGTTTGCGCACCACGTCGTCCGCCGGAGTCGCCGAACCCTGCGGCGAAGAAGAATTGCAGAACTAAGCACAAGCTTCGGAGGTCCGGCGGACCCTTTGGATCGGCGCTGGACCTCCCTGGCGGCGCTCCCAGCGCCAGGGGCGGGGGGGGTCGGCGCCGATCCGCGAGGGTCGCGCAGAAAATCGATCGCGCGGCCTTCTGAGAAGCACCCCGCTTGGTTGGAAGGCCGCCCGCCTCGCGCGGCCGCCCAGAGCGCGCCCGCCAAAGAAGGGGAGCGGCCCGACGGGTGCCTCGGCCGGCACAAACAGTCCGCTGGAGCGCGCCCCTTCGGCGTCGGCCGCGGCGGCGAATCCTCGGGGAGCCCTGGGGAGACCCTGGCAGCGCGCCTGGGTGGGCGGTCCGGCGCCGACCGAAGAGAATTCTGCGCGGGTTTCGACATGTGACATGTGCCATGCTTACGTCTGCGGCGCGCCCCGCCTGCCCGCAGTCCAGTCTTGTATCGTTCAACCGACACCGACAGCCTATCCCCGTCCCCATCCCGAGCCCGACGATCCCAGCACCCCAGCTGGGGATATACCCTCAAAGCCTGGAGGGAACAGCCTACATCCCCATCTAGGGTGTTAAATCGGCCAGCGTGCCCCAGGCCACGTCGTTGGGGAAAGGGGTCGGATATACGAAGCCCATGCCGCCTGCCCGCCATCCCTTTCCCGCGGCGGCCCTCGTCCTCCTCCCGCCTCCTCGGTACCTCGGCCTGGCCCCGCCGTGCGACCGCCGCCGCCGCGACCAAAACAGTCTATCTTGTTCCTTGGTCGATCCGATTCGATATCGATTCTGGCCGGCCCGCACCGATTCGATTCCGACGGTCCGATGCGGTCCGATGTTTGCATGGGGCCGTTGTGCAGGGAGCAGCCGTTTCGATTCGGTTCTAGCGCGGTGCCGATGCGGCCCGATTCAACGTGAGCTCCGTGACATGAAGGTGAGGAGTCCTGAAGGAAACGGGCCCCGAGTTGTTTCGCCGCTTTTGGCATGCTGAGGCCTCCCACGGGCTCCGGGAGTTGCCGGAAAAAAGCTCAGGATGGGACCAGGCCCCAGGGTCCAGGACTCATTTCCTTCAGGGCCCGTATTTGTTTCATACCAACATTTGGTTCTATTGAATCTCAGTTCGCTTCACGCCAGTACCTGTTTTGTCGACGTTCCCACAAATCAGAGCGATGGGGCCGAACGAACATTCATTGTCCTTGAGCGCGTGGCTGAAGTGGGGTTCCGCGGTGCGGATCGTTGTTGCGTTGATGTCGCATGATTGTTGTCGTTGTCCTCGGCCGCGACCCGCCCGCGACCCACCCACCGACCCACTCCGCGACCCAGCCCGCGACACACCCAGCGACACACCCCGCGACCTACCCACGACCCACCCACATTGTTTTGACGAGTAGATTGGCGCCTGCCGCGGGCTCGGTATAAAATTTGTAATAATCGGCGCCTGTGGCGGACTTTTTCAGAGCCTCGCAGACTGCCGACGACCACGCCGGTGCTGCGTATTGCATTATGTTTTTGTCCAGACCTTGGTGTCCGAAATTTCCCGATCAACATTACCCGGATGGAGATACAGGGTGAAAGGGCGTTCTGCTACGATGGAAGTGCTTATGCTGAGCCCTCGCTTGCCCGCTCAAATGGCGCTCCAACTCGTGCCCAAAATTGTGCCCCAAATTGTCGAGCCCTGTGAAAACACAGTCTAAGCGCACCAGGGCCGCCCGAACCAAGGGCTGACGCGCGGCGGCTGCACGCTGAATTCGCGGCCCAGTGCGCTTCAGATCACCCTCCGAACAGCGCCAAGATTGCGTGCGTCGCCATCGCGCGCAACAGCTTTATTTCGCAACAGCAATGTGAATTAACTACAAGTTGGGCTGTTACATCGACATACACACTTTCAGAGGCAGTGCGGAGTTGTTTGTCTCGCGTTGGCCTCCTAGTCGGCGCCTCTGGCGCGATCCGTGCGCCGGGGAGCGCGGCGCAGCTCCGAGCCAAGCAATCCGCGCGGCGCGCCGACAGTCTGTCGTGTGCAGCTTGTTTCTTCCTCGAGAGCTCCGACTCGGTCCGATGCCCTGGTTCGATGCTGACGTGTTCCGCGTGTGTGTTTCTGCTCCCCAGCGGAGGAGCCAGAGGCGACGCCACCGCTAGGGGCGCCACCTCCATCAATGGGGGATCCACGTTGCCTCCCCGAGCGGGGAACAGGGGGTGTCTCGAGCGAGAGGGGGGGCCACGCCACCAGGAGGGGTACCACCAGCGAGGGGGTACGATGCCTCCCCGAGCTGGGGACAGGGGGTGTCTCGAGCGAGAGGGGGGGAGGTGGCACCACCAGGGAGGACCCCGCCTGGCGCCTTGCGCTGGTGGTGGTGGCATCGCCTGTCCCTGCTCCTGCCCCAAGGAGAGTCCGCCGCTCGCGGCGCTGTCGCTCGAGCACTCCGCGCTCGCCGCTGCGGGCGCGGTCAGCCTGGCCAAGGCGCTGCTGCGGAACACCTCCCTCGTGCTGCTGGAGCTCAAGGCGCCCGCGGCGCCCCGAAAGGGCGTCCTCCGCTCCTCCCCGCGGGAGGCCGGTCGAGACAGCAGCGGCCCCCCCTGGCGTGTTTCGTTTTGCTTTTTGTGGGGGGGTCTCCTCAAAGCTCCTCGTTGCCACGGCTGGGTTCGCCCAGAGAAACGATCAGTGGCGACGTTCGGGGGGAGCAGGTTCAGGGGGGGAATGCATCGACCCCCCAAGCGCACATTCAGCGCCAGTGGGGGCCCGCTACTTAGTCACCCCGCGCAGGACCTTCGCCGATAGTATTGGCGATGCCGATTCCAGCTCGATGTTTCCCCCCCCTGGGCTGGTCACCCTCTAATGTAACCCCTCAAGCGAGTCGGGATGGGCCCCGAGAGGGGTCGGATGGCAAATTTTGAACGGGTTCGGGCTGGTCGGGAGAGCCGCCGTTGTCCCAATTGGCCCTCGTTCGAGGTTTGGACCGCTCTGCCTGGGCACGACCAGGTCTGGGTCCATTTCGATCCGACCGATCATATTCGATGTCGATCTCGGCCGGCCCGATTCGATTTCGATAATCCGACGATCCGTTGCAGTCTGAGGCTTGCAAAGCGCAGTCGTGCTTGCTGACGCGGCCGATCCGATCCGATTCCGACTCCGTGCTTATGTGGCAACGATTCTATGCACATTCCGATCCGACTTGGTTTTCCGCTTCGACCACATCAGTGAAGTTTGCGAATTTCGGTCTGGACCGCCAAAAATCACCCCAAGATGCAGGGTTGGCCTGGGTGAAGTGGTCTAGACTTCTGGGGATCCGCGCTGCAAAGATCGTGACGTTGGAGATCTGGGCAATCCTTCCTCCTCCCTCCGCTCCTCTCGTTTTCTCGGCGGCGCGCACAAGCGGGCGACGCGAGTGGGGCGTCTTCTAAGGAGGCGGGGGTGATGCTAAGCGGGCAGGCGGGTGGCTTCTGAGGAGCCCTACCAGCTCCCACGATGCCTTCCTGGAATCCTCCAGGCCCTTCCACGAATCAGCTTGCCTTGTAAGGAGCCGCCCATCTTCTCAGAAGGCATCCCCCTTCGCGCGACTCCCTCTGCGCGACCTCTACTTCCTCCTTCCGCGCGCGCGCGAGGCGACGACAACGACGACGTCGTCGCCTCGGATTCTTTTCGGGCTTGTTCTGGAGGTCGCCGTCAAAGCGGCTGGACGCAGCTTGAACAAGTGCCCAGGGCAGACCGCAGGACGGGGTGCGGGGACGGCATTTGAGCGCACTTGGCGCGGGTGCAAGAGAAAGCAGGTTGGTCTTCTGAGAAGGCCAACCCCCGCCTGTCCAAAGCCCTCCTGCCTATCTCTAACATCGGGGGGACACCAACCGTTGCTTGGATTATGCTTGCGATCAGATGCAACAGTTGGGAGCACGCCTTCTTCCAGCACGTGCAGTAGACGGGCCCACCCGCGCTGCCCCTACGGGGCCCGACCCGCCGGCTGGCTTGGCAGCGGACTCGGGCGTTCCGCTGCGCTTCCTTGGCATCGCTCCGACATGTGCATTGATCTCGGCGAGGCCATCGTCAGAAAATCTGGGCGTTCTTGGAGCGTCTTGACCAAACAATGCACGGGGAATGGAGGTCCGAGCCATGGCAAGCTCCGCTGAGGTCTGCCTTCGAGAAACCCAGAGGACTCCAAGGAGGAGCAGATCCATCCTGAGGGGGTGACACGCCAGAGCGAGGTCCTGTTCTGGATGTCGCTTGAGCGTGCCACCGTCCAGGGTTACCCTCCTCCCGATGGGTTCTCGGCGGCGGTGGTCCCCGCTTCTCTTTCAGATCAAAAGAAGCATCGACGACGACGGCAGCGGCGGCGATGAAGTCGACGTTTGCGCCACCATCAAGGGGAACTTCATCGGCGACGCTGGCGTGCAGCGCATCGTGGCCGCGCTCGAGGGAAGCCCTGGCCTCGCGCGCCTGGGGCTGAGCTGGAACTGCATCGGCGACGCCGGGGGCATGCGCGTTGCGGAATCCGTCGGCAGGCGCTCGCCACGAGGGCAAATCAGTGGCGCGCCCGGGAAGGAAGGCGGACGGGGCGGGACTTCTCAGAAGGCTCAGGAGGCCCAGCTGCCCCCTCTCGCGCGTTCTCCCCGGCGCGCCGCTGAGCAAAGGGTCTGCGGTAATTTTTGAAGCCTACCTCTGCGGGTCCAATCGACGCTGGGGTATCGGACCCCCGCTGGGGTTCATCATTCGGATTCTGAACTCAGCTGGTTTTTCAGAAGCCTGACTTGCAGGGATAGGGATAGGGTGCGCATGTGTTCGCTAACCGAAGGCAAAGGGGTCCTTCAGTCGAGGAAGAACAGAACATCCATCAACGTTTCTATAAGTTTCTGGAGCTCGGTCTGATATGTTGGATCCCCCCTGGCGGCGCCTTTGGCGCCGCCCCTGGCTTGCTCCGCGCGCTAGGGAGGGGGTCCAATTCAGCATCTGTCTAAGAACTCCGTGACCACCTCCGGAAGTATGTTTTTTCTCCCTGCTCGCCAGAGGAGGAAGAGACTTCATCGGCTGCTCGTTCTGGAGAGCCCTCGTCACCTCGGCGGGCGGACTCTCCTCGCCCTTTGGTCGGGAGCGCGCCCCAGGAGAGGTCGAGGGAGCGGCGGCATCGGCCCCTTAGGGCTCCCCGCGATCCTGGAGTGCCCGGGTCCCCAGAGGAAAGGGGCCGTGACGTGTCGGGGGGCTTCGGCAGAGATGTCCAGAGGTCGCGGAAGAGGGTCCTGAGGCGGAGGCAGCGCCGCCTGCGATCCGTTTCGATGCGATACGATTCGCTGGTTGGGGCCGCGATATCGATTCGAGTCGGTTTGATTCACCGGAATCGGCCAGGGCCAGCTGGAACTGGGGGCGGCGATCCGATTTCGATTAGATTCGGGGCGACTCGCCGGCGACCTAGCCCGTTTCTGATCCAATCCGGTTTCGTGATTCGATCCATGGCACATGCTCTAGAACCGCCGGACCTAAGAAACTTCAAATCTTCACGTTTCGCGTATCCCCACCAGGCGACCCATGCCTTAATTCTACGGCATCCGACCCTGGTCGTCGTTTATCCCGACTTCCTGGTGCTTCCGAAGCCCTGCATACTTGCACGCTGGCAGTTCGACTCAGTCTCAGTCACCCCTGCCACCCGCCCGCCGCTGGGCCGCCGCGTGAGGCCTCGGCTTGCTGCGTTAGACGTGGCTTGCCCCCGCTGCCTTCGCTTAATTAGTCTCGGCGTAGCCCGCTTTGACCTGACTCGCCGCAGGCGCGTTCGCCCGCGGCCGCTGATTAAAAACAGATCCCCACCAGGGCTGTGCCACCCGGTGTACATACAAGAGGATCTGCCGCTTGCAGTCCTGTCTGTGACGAGGCTGCCCCCATCTTCACTCCGGCGCTGACACGATGCTGTTGTGTCACCTACGGCGCGGATGTCGTCCTGGAGTGCCTGTCGGATCTGCTCGTTTTTGTCGGGCCTCATGCCGGTTCACACCGGGCGATCGACCTCTGTGTGTTCTTGGTCGCGCCGCCGCGCCATTTTGATTGCGCCTACTTGATGGTCGCCACCGGGATTTCCACGCCACCGGGTTGTGAGTGCCGTTCCTGGTCCTCCTTCTGGATCGCTGCCCGCGCGCTCGCTTCGCTTGCCCCTTTCTTTTCTTGCTGCCGAGTCGCGGCCCGGCTAGCGTTCGGACGGCTTTGGACTTGCTTCGCGAGCCCGCAGACCAAGAAATATCCCCACCAGGATCTGACGCTGCGCGGGTGCCAACTCGCGGTCGCGATCGAATAACTACATCTCCCCACCAATTTCCCTAGCTGACTTGTGACGCCACTTTGCGCCTTCGCCTGCGGGTGCGACGGACAAAGTATCCCCACCAGCCTGTTCAGAAACCTTGACCATGAGAGCTGACGGGAAAAAGGACGATGAAACACATATAGGATAGCGAAGCACAACGGGCAACCAGGATGAACAAAGAGGTCTCTTGGAGCAAGGGGGGAGCCTTCGAGGGCCTCGTCGGGCCATTATTGAGGCCCGCGGGGGGGCGAGGGGAGGAGGATGATGAGAAGGCGAACCGCTTGTTGGGTCCCTCATGGGGCGCTCTTCGGCGCTCTTGGGGCCGGGGTTTTCTTGGGGATCTCTTGGGGCCCTCTTGGAAGCCCTGGAGGTCCTCTTGAGTCCATCTTGAAGGCCGCCGAGCCAAAGGGGGGTTCTTCATCTAGATATCCCCGCAAGAACCCTCAAAACCGCTTCTTGGGGGCTTCTGGGCCGACCGTTGGCGCTCTTGGGGCCGTGTGGGGGGCTTCGTGGGTTCCTCTTGGGGCTCTCTTGGGTCATCCTGGGGCATTTTCGAGGTTTCAAAGTCGCATCGGAAGCGCACAAGGCAAGAATGTAATAGTAGCGGATACAGGGTACTGAGTAATTTTAGCATCTTGGGGGGTCATGAGGGGGGAGGGGGCTCCGAGGGCAATCTTGGGCGAAAAGGGCCCCTTGCTGCCTCGCGAAGCCCGCAAAACAGACCTCAGGGACGGGGGGGAGGGGGAGGGTACCTCCCCCTCCCCGAAGGGAAGACGTGTTTTGGAGGGAAAGACAGAACTCGTTATACCAGCTACGCCGAAAATGCTGGTTGGATGATCCCGGTCCGATGTTGTCTCGGACCTACCCCAAATTTGATTTGCACAGTGTTTGCATTGCATCACATGCATTCTTGATGATGCGAAGACCGAGGAAGTAAACCAAAATGGATTGATCACCGCTCCGAACATAGGCTCCATTGGTGTTTGGTGTATCAATGAGCAGTTTGATTTTACCCATTGTCATACTCATGCGAATCCGCAGCATTTGTTCACTTTACTGCGTTTCATTGCCTCGTCTTGAGAGGGGCCCTGAGCCCTTCTGTGGCTCTCGGCCTGCTCGGGGCCTCTGCCTGGCTCCCGAGGCCGCCAGGAGCCTGCTCGGGTCGTACAGCTGGTCCCGTGGGGGAAGATCTCCAGCTCTCCTCAGCGCCGGTTCCCTCCTGGGAGCGTCCATCGGGGGCAACGATAGGGCGGGATAGGCATAGGGGGGATGCATCGACCCAGGAAGGTGCGGATTCACTATCGGGGGCCTATCGCCGATCTATCGACGATGTATCGCCGATTCCAGGTCGATGCATCCCCCTTATGCCTATCCCCCCGATCGTTGCCCCTCAGATCAAGACGGGCGTGTGGACCCAGACCTCCAACGATTTCAACAAGATTTGTTCAAGCCGGGCGCCATTCCTCGATTTCGGCATCTGGGGCCCGTTGTCGGGCCGAAGAGTTGAAAGCTGGCCCCACGGGCGGGGTCAGGGCATCTGCGGCCGCGGGCTGACAGAAAATCAGGGGGTCGGATGCCTATTGCCAGGGCCATGAGATCTCGCGGATGCCCGGATCACATGTCCCTCTCTTCATCTCCTCCTCTCAGTGCTTTACAGTGTGCAGTACGTCCGCGGGCCCCCTCCCTCGTCCGCGCACATTCCTCGGCGCATGATGCGCGGACCCCCCTCTTCTTGCCTGCTCGGCGCACGGGATTCCCGTCGTGGCAAAGGCTGCAGGGCCTCCGCGACCTCGACCTCTCCTACAACCGCATCGGCGACGCCTCCACCGACATTATGTGCATGGCCATGGAGGTGCGGTTCCTCCTCTCCCCGTCGTCGTAGGCGTCGTCGTTTTCCTTCCTCTCCTCGCTTTCCCTCCTCTCGCGCTCATCTGTCCTTCCTCCTCTCTCCTCCTCCCCTCCCCTCCCCTCCTTCCCTCCTCTTTCCTTTCAGCGAGTTTGTGGTAACCTCTCCTGGTCTGCTGCTTGAAGACACTACTTAGGAGCAGGTTTAGGAGGAAGGGCGGATTCTACTATGTTTCAGAATGTTTGGAGGAGATTTGAAAACGACCATTCTCACGAGGCGGCTGGGATTCTTCGTAACGTTTCACATGGAGGCTTCTGGACAGGACGGGCTTGCGCAGGCAGGCTACGAGTCCTACACCAGAGATCTTTGCCCTAGATGTGGTGGCGCGCCTGCGACTGCCGCCCATCGTTTCTGGGGTTGTGAGTGCAACCAAGTGTTGCCAGACAACTCGATTGACAAATCTCGCCATCTTGTTCAGCATGACCTTAGTCAACCCGAGATGGCGTCCTTCCGGATGCGAGGCCTCCCCTTGTTGTCCGAGTCTGGTGGTCATTTTTCTTCCCCTCTTGCCCTCTCGTTGGAATGGGGCTGCCTTTCGGACGGGGCCGAAATGCCAGGGAAGGTGTGGGGGATCGACAGATCCAGGGGGAGGTACCAAAAAGATTGGCGTCCGCGGCGATGTGGTTGGGCAGTTGTCCACTTAGGTGTGCACGGCCTTTTCCATGGAGTGGCCAGTGGCACTCTGCTGAGTAAGGTGCTGAACGCTGGCCGTGCTGAGTTGTATGCCTAGATCGAGCTTGCCGAGCCATCCACGGGCAACACCCGTGCGTATTGCGACAACGTGTCTGTCGTGCTTGGCTTCCGCGAGCCCCTCTTGGCTCTTGGCCAACAAGAAATCTGTTATTCTCGATTCGTGGGAAATATTTTGTGAAGTTATGGCTGTCAGAGGCAGCACGATAGACGTTCGATGGACTAAAGGATACCCCACCCATGCACAGTGTCAGCATACGGCTAATAAGCGATAGTGAGCACTATTTAGGTAAGGTCGCCGTTTATTGTCGCTGGGAAAGCTTCGGAACATGCGACTATTCCTGATGACCTCGTGAGGGGGGCTTGGTTTGCTGGTGAAGAAGCCTGTCTTGTTATACACCGTTTGGTGTCGGTAAAGCGTGAGTGCTTGGACAGGCCCGAGAAGGTCTCCCACGAGAGGTCTCGAAAGTTTCTGTTCTTGGGGAATGCTGTTTTAGGTTGGCCGCTTGTGGCCATTGCGTTTTCGTCCGACCCTCCATCCTCAAGTGCGCTTTCTCTCGGCCCTCGATCGTTTTCGGAAAGCAAGGAGACAGCTGTCAGAGTTTTGGCCCTCTCCGTGCAAGCCGCGCGCGCTTGTGGAGCAGCGTGCGCAGCGGCTTCTCAAGCGACCTACGCCCGATGTGTCTGGCGGGAGCCGCCCGCCTTTGAGGTGAGGTCGGGGGAGGAGAGCTCCTTTGACCATCCGGGGCTCAAGAGACGGGGGTCAATGCAAACGGGGGTCAGCCAGAGCGCCGGATCTTGCAGGATCCTGCAGGGCCAGGGTCGCATTGACCCAGGTTGGGTGCAGGATCCTGCAGGATCTTGCAGGATTCTTCGCATTGACCCGGGTTTAGGTGCAGGATCTTGCGGGATCTTTCAGGATTCTGTAAGGCCTGACTGAGCTGGGTCTGGATTGACCCGGGTCAGAAGATCCCCGAGACCATTCTTGTGTTGGCTTCTGCCATGAGTCACCATCTTGATACGCTCCGCGGTGTGCTATGCAGTGTACGTGTGTGGACGGCATTGTGTTGAGGCCCCGCGCGACCTCTCATGAGGGCAATGCGAGCCTTCCGCAAGAACTGGGAAGGAGGCTTTGCCTCGGTTGATGCGTGGCCTCCCACCGGAGTCGGGCGGCACATTCCCTGATGTCTGATTTTGCTGATGCGTGCCCCGCCCACAGCAAGTACACGCGGCCGAGGATCGAACGTATCGAAAATCCTTCCCTCCTCCCTGCTCCGTCTCCCTTCAATGTGGCAGCAATTGCTACTTCAAACCCGAAAGGCTGCCGATCGCAAACTTGGCAGCCTGGTTAGTGATCTTCATCTTCCTCCTGCTCCTCCTCCTCCTCCTCCTCCCCCTTCTCCTCCCTACCCTTTCCTCCTGCCTGGATCTTTGATTCTTGATTGATGATTACCCCTGCTCCCTCCTCTCTCCTGCTGGACGAGCCTGCCTGGAGTCATTGTATTCCGCGCAGCATCTGGCCACGGACCCCTAAGCCTGTTTCCCTTCAGTGTTTTCATCGCGGATAGTTTGTTTGGCTGCGAGGCCCGACCCCCCCCCCTTCAGACGGAATGGGGGGTGGAATAAGAGGGGGCGAATACGACAACGAGGAGGATAATAAATAAAGACGACAACGACGACGACGACGACGACGACGGCGTCGAATACGACGAGGTGGACGACGAGGACCGCGAAGACGTGGACAACGCAGACGACAGGGACGGCGACGACGACGACCTCGGGACGTTTGCGCCACAGAACCACGCCTCTCCCATAGGGCGGGGGGGGGCGCCGCAACACCGCGCCGCACTCAACGGGGGGGCAAGCCCATCGGTGTCGGTGGGGTGGGGCCTGGACGCATTAGCATCTATGAACCTTTGATCGTACCTGGCTGCATCTCGACGCGTTCGTCGCGTGTAGTGGAGTCAGAGCAACCGGAAGTCCTGATACAGATGTCCAGATTTTTGTTTCCGCACAGGCTCCAGAAGCGAGGGCGGCCAGACAGTTTGGAAATCTTGGACCGTACCGTGAGCGGATCCGTTTATGGGATCATTCCCGTCCCATGGAGGTTTTTCTGCTTGAGGCAGCTCAACTTGTTTGGGCCTGACTCCCAGGGACGCCATCCAGAGGCTTCTGGAGGTTCTCAGAGGCCCCAGCATACCATGAACGTCCACACCCTCTATCCTCGTACCCACGCCGATTTGCCGTTCGCGGTGGAGGCCTCCTTCTCCCTGAAGCAGGCGGACCTGCGCAGCAACCAGTTCGGGCCCGACTCTCAGGGACGCCTGCTGGAGGCCTGCGCTGGAAAGGTCGCGCGCGCGGCCGCTGCTGCTCGTCTCGCCGCCGTCGCCGTCGCCGTCGCCGTCGCCGTCCTCGTCGTCGTCGTCGTCGTGGTCTCCGCCGTTGTCGTCGTCAGTCCTCGCTCGTTGCTCCTCCTGCTACTCCTCCCCTTCTCTCCCTCCTGAATTGCTTTCTACTCCTTTCTACTCGATCCCACTCCCTCCTGGCTTATTGCACCGTCGGAACGGAGTGGGGCCCACTGCGGAGTGCAAATGCCATCATTGTTTGTTGTCGTCGTCGCTTCGTCGTCGTCGCCGATGTCGTCTCAGCTAGTGTCGGCGTCGTCACTGATCGAGATTTCGAGCTTCGAGGTTTTGAATGCTCGTGGTCACGTTGGGCTACTGGGGGCGTGCACAGACCTCCGTGGACCTTCGGAGGCCCGGGCGACGACGGCGTCGTTGGCGTAGCCCTTCCCCAAGCAGTGCTTGCACCTGGGGTCTCCTACCGTCGTTGTTTAAGACAATTTCATGGGCCCTGGGATCTCGCCACGTTGGCGCCCGTGCCCGCTCGTGGGCGCTGTGTGGGCGCCCCTGTTCGCTGGCACCACGGAGCTTGCGCAACATAGCTTGCACCACGCAACCAGCACACCATTGTTCTCGCCCTCGAAGGGGCAAATCTGGGGTCCACGCTCGGTATCGTGTAAACGATCCCCATCCCCATCCCCATCAGTTGGGGACACCCCTCTCGAAACCCGAAGGATGCGGCCGATATCCTCATGTAGGGGGGTGAATCGGCTGGGGATGGGGATGGGGATCGGTTAAACGATACTCATACACCACGCAACTAGCACAACATAGTTTTCGCCCTCAAGGGGCAAGTTTGGGGCCCACGCTGCCTAACATCGTCGTCGCCCCGGGGCTGGACGCGGCTTGGAAGCCCCGCTGGTGAAAGGGATCCAGAACTCGGTTTGGAGCGAGCGTTGGTCGGGGGTGGAGCGGGGGCCTGGCCTTCAGGGAGGCAGGGCGGCCCGCGGAGAATTGATCTGCCGTCGTGGAGGGTGCAGGATCCAAGGCAGTAGCTCAGGTGATCCGCGCTTCCAGACGACATGCTTCCTTTCTCAGTGTTTCCGAAGGCCTCCGGGGTCCCCACGAGTTCCTCATGAGGAGTCTGGAGCCTCCTGAGGCCCTCAGATGTCGCCGTGGTGACGGCCCAGGACTACCCAAGATCACGATATTGATTTAGGGATCTGTGTCTCTAGAGGTCTGCCCACTCTCCCTCCTCGCCCTGTTCTCAACAAAGCTGCATTCTTGTTGCTGCACACGCCGTGGTTCGGCGCGCGGGCTCCCCTACTGCAAGTTGGTCGTTTGCCTATCGCAGGTTGGCCCTCTCGTGGCTCCGGATTTGTTTTGTGCATTTCTTTGGCACCATGGCTCGTTTGAAAGTGCGCTCATGGGGCACATCAGGGGCCAATAACGTCGCATGACCTCGATGCTCGACCCTCGATCCTCGGTCCTCGGCGGCGGCGGCGGCGGCGCCATCGGCAGGACGACGGCGACGGCGACGGGTATGCGACGGTGACAGCGCGGACGAGGACCACGAGCGTGGCGACGAGGACGACGGCAACAAGGACGAAGGGGACGACTAGGACGGGGACAAAGACGATGAGGCCCCAGGAAGCACGGAACGGCTGCTGCGGCGGCGAGGACGAGGCGACGGCGGCGACCTCCGTCGCCTGCGTTGGCATCTTCCCTCCGACCTGCAGAGGTGGCGCTGCACCTGGAGGGGGAGCCCCGCGCGCTCCACGTCGCGGCCCATAAGGCCGGATGAGCGGCGGCGACCGACGACAACGTCGTCGCCGTCAAAGTTGTCAGGATGTGTTTTTTTCGAGCAAGGCTTTTGGAGGTCGGCGGCGGCGACAGTGTCGGCAACGGCAGCGAGGATCGAGGATCCAAGTTTCTTGGCGCCCTGGGCCAGTTCTCAAAGGCCTCCCCGCTGGGCTTCCACAGGATTCCAAAGACTTCAAAAGGGCCTCAGGAGACCGATGATGACGTCGCCGTTTGGGATGTTTGAGGGGGGGCGCAGACGCGGTGCGAATGGAGACGGAATGATGTCGATGGGACGATTTCGAGCGGATTTAGTCATGGCGGCCGACGACGGCGGCAACCACGACAAACAAATTTGGATGTATTTTGAGGTGTCCAAGGGCCAATACAGAGCCTGAGACGTCAGAAGACATCGCGCTTCGAACCTCTATCTCGACGACGAAGGCGACGGACGGCAGAGACGGCAGCGGCGACGACGGACGACGGTGGCGACGAAGGCAACGACGATAGCGACAATTACGACAACATCCGGCGGCGTTTTACGACATCTAGAGGCTGCAAGAGAGGCATACGGCGCTCGGAGGCCCACAGAGGCCCAAGAAGAGCCAAGGCGCCAACAAACCTTGATCCTCTAATCACCCTCGGCCTTCGATCCTCGACGGCGACGACGAAGGGGCAAGGTCGACGGCGACGACCATGGTGGCAACGATAGCGACGACGACAGCACGGCGACATCCCGAGGCCCAAGGAGGTTCCCAGAGGTGCCTGGAGGTTACCAGAAGTCCAGACAGGGACAGGAGCCCTTAAACATCTCGACCACCAGGATGCGTTTTGATCCGACCGATCCGAATCGATGTCGATTTCGGCCAGCTCGATCGGATTCGATTCCGATTTCCCGTTGTTCCGATGCGCGAGCTGAGCTGACTTGCCCTACCCCCGTGCTGTCCCCCTCTTCATCTGACCCGATCCTCACCCACGGTGACGGCGAGGATGACGGCGAGGGTGACAGACCAGCGGCGAAGGGGCGACGGCGATGAAAGCTGGCGGCGGCGGCGACGAATGCGTCGACGGTGGCTGACGGCGAAGTGGCGTCGGCGGCCCGGGCCAGCGGTGATCGATGACGGCCGACGACCGCCGGTGGCGACGGCGCCTACGACGAGCGACGACGACGGCGGAGACGACCGACGACCGACGACCGACGACGACAACGGCGACGCCGTCAACGACGACGACGGCCGATGACAACGACGACGACGACGACGACGACGACGGACCACCGACGACGACGACCGACGACCGACTATGACGGACCACCGACGACGGCGACGACGCGCCGACCAATGACCGTCGACGGCCGACGGCCGACGACCGACGACGACGACCGACGACGACCGACGACGACCGATGTCGACGGCTGACGACCGACGGCGCAGGCTGGCGATGGCGACCAAAGTCGGCGGCGGCGAAGCGCCCCCGAGGCCGAGGCCAAGCAGAGGGCGCCGCGGGGTGCCCGCGGCGGCGGGCCCAGGAGGGCGTGCCCGCCGCCGCTGTTGCGGTAGCGACGGTGGCCTGGAGGGCGACGGGCGGCAACGACGTCGGAGTCGATGCCGCTGCTCGTCCTGGAGAGCCCTCGTTGTCACGGCTGGATTCCCCTCGAAGTTCGGGTCAGAATACACCCCGGGAGAGGTCCGCGGAGTATCGGTTTCGGTCATGTTTGGTCCCCTCAGACGTCGACGACAACGGCGACGACGATGGTGGTGACGACGACGACGACGAGACGACGATGATCGCGACGCCGACGAGGGTGGCGACAGGTACGACGAGGGTAAGCCCGCCGCTGCTGCTCGGGGGGGGGGGGCGCCGCTCTTTCTGGATGGCGGCGACCTCCAGGGGTGGTTTCTGGACCGCCCTGTAGGGCCCCACTCTGATGATCAGGTTTTTGGGCGTTTTCGTCGCTCCCGGCAGGTTTTCCGTTGGGCGGACGTTTGGGCCCTGCAGGGCCTCTCCGATCCTCCCGAGAGACCAGGCTTTCGGACGGTTTAGTGCCTGGCAGTTTTCCTGCCCTTGGGATGCCTTCAGGCAGCTGCGCCTCGCCGAGACGGTTCCAGGGGACCCGCATCGCCCCGAATGCCAGCCGCTGGAAGCACGAGTCAGGACCCGAAAGCTGAGGCCAGGGCCTGCCGTTTGTGTTGGTCGCGGCGCCCGCAAGGGTGGGGGGGGGACAGCAGGAGGGACAGAGGGGGAGGTGTGACAGGGGGTTGGAAAAGGAGGGGACAGAAGAAGGAAGTGAAGGTGTGCGTGCTTGCTTGCTTCGTCCCTCTCTTGCATGCCGGCCAATTTGCCATTCGTTTGCCCCGAATCGCCACACGCTGGAGCGGACTGCCTCTGCCTAGCCGCCGACGGAAAAAGTGTGTGTTTGCTTGTGCCAGGGGGGAGCGAGGGGGGATCATGCCTCTGCCTCGGGAGCGTCTAGACCAGACCCCGGTTCCAAGCACGCACAGGGCTCCACGCGCATGGTGATCGGTGCAGCCAGATTCCACGCGCGCGGGGTTCCACGCGCGCGGGGTTCCACGCACGCGGGGTTCCACGCACGTGGGGTTCTGCTCACAGTGGGTCCCACGCGCGTGAGATTCGTACACATGTGGATTCCGCGCGCACGGGATTCCACGCGCATGGCGTGCCCCACAGGTGGGGTTCCACGCAATTGGGTGTCCGCATTGGTTTTCGCACCTACGGATTCCACGCGAAGAGGGGTCCACCCACACTGGGAGCCACGCATAGAAGGGTCCATAATGCATTTGGTCCCACGTGCGTGCCACACATCGGATTCCACGCACATCCGGGTTCCACACAGCGGGTTCCGCACGCGTGCTGGGTTCTGTGGTCGTGGGGTTCCATACACACATGGGGTTCAAACACATGGGGTTCCACGCACCCGGGGTCCTCGCGACTATGTTTCCACACATGAGGCTCAGCACACACATGCGGATCCACGCGCATGGGGCTCCACACGTATGGGGTTTCACACGCGTTGGGTTCAACGCATGTGGGGTTGCACAGGCATGGGGGTCCACGCGCATGGGGCTCCATACGCACGGTGTTCTACATGCTTGGGTCTTCGCACCTGGCGGATTTCACGCACATGTTGCTCCACACACGCAAAGTGTCACAGGATGTCGCACACATGGGGCTCCACACGCACCTTGGTTTCCACACGCGTGGGCATCCGCACGCACACACGGTGCCCCATTCACGTGGGGTTCCATGCGCATAGGCTGGCAAATGGCGTTCCACAAGCACACACACACACACACATCGGGGTCCATGAACATGGGGTCCTCTTGCATGGGGTCCAAATGCACCAAGGTTTCCACACGTCCCGCTCGAACTGGAATCCACAAACATTGGGTTCCACACGCACACACATGAGGTATCACGAGATGCCACGCATTTGACACAGTCACACACACACACGCACAAGGCGCCACTCCCATGGAGTTTCACAGACGAGGGAGTATGTTTACATGGCGGGTCCGCAAATATGGGGTCTCGCAGTCATGTCCCTCTTCGTCTATGATGTTCCTCACACAATGCTGCCGCACACATTGCGTTCCACCCGCATTGTGCCCCCCCCACACACACACCTGGAGTTGCACAATCACACACATACACACACGCACGCACACATCGGGCTCCGCACATATATTGGGTCCCACAGATTGGGTTTACACATCGGGCTTGCTTCTGTTTAAGTCTTTGGTGTTGACTGGTCGGCATCATAGTTGTCAGCTTCAGTTTCAGTAGCACTGCTTTCGGGCATCACGACACACCATGGGGCCCGACAAAGACACAGCGGCAATTTGCAAAACAGAGCAGTTGGGACCCTTGGCACCGCGCCTCACCACGGGACATGACGAGGCACCTTGGCGGACACCCCAGCGAGCCGTCCACCAGAACAACAGGAGACGGAGCATTAACAAGAGCAGGCGCGGGAGCAGGAAGACATCTGAGCAGCGTGAGCCACAGGGGACCTCCAGCGCGCACAGTTCGCACGCAAATCACCGCACGATATGAATTACGGCTTCTCGGCCAGCATCATTTGACAGGCGATTCCCGCACCCGTGATCCTCCGATTTCGCGTGTGTAGGCGCGGTGATCCTAATCATAACGACAGTCGACGCACCTGTGAGTGACAATGAAGTTGTGAGTGATGGTCGTCATGCTGATGGTGATGATTGTCGTGATTTCACTTGTTTCCGTCGCGCCTCTGATCCGCCGCTGTTTGGGTCGCTCAAGTCTTGAGTATGTGGCACAAGGTCCTGGATCACGCCGTCAGTGGAACGGTCTCGTACTTCACCCGCTGCCCCGCAGTGCCATCGTGCCCTCCTTGCCCTGTGTGCTCCCTGGCGTGCGGGCAACCAGCCAGCTGCCCATCCTGCTCGCTGGTGTGTCCCGCGGCACCAGCGTGCCCAGAGTCCCCGACGCCAGCTTGCCCCTCGCCTGCACCCTGCCCAGCGGCAGTGTGCCCGGCCTGCACCCCTTGCGCGGCCGCGGCGCCCGCGGCCACGGGCGAGGCGGCCGCGTCGGCCCAGCCGGCGGGCGGCGAGGCCCCGGGGGTGGCAGCCACTCTCGGCGACGTGGGCCGCGACGCCAGGGCGTTCTGCCTGGGGCTGCTGGGCGGCACGCTCGGCTGCTTCGTGGCGGCGGCCTGCCTGGGTTGCCTGAGTTCGACGTTGAGGCGGGACGCTCGGCCGAGGCGAGAGGCGGTGACCTACGATGGCGGCGGTGGCAGCGACAACACGTTGGGTGTACGTCTTCTACGCCGGAAAGGTGGTGTGGCACCAGCATTGAATATGGGGCGGGTGGCATTGTCGGAAGGTGACCATGTCATCTACACGGCCGACGGCGACCTGTACATAGTGACGGTGTCGAACTGCCCGGACGTGCAGGCGGCCAGGTTCGGCGGGTACGACCCTCCGCCGCCAGGCATCGACCCGAAGCAGGTGCATCGGTTCCGTGCGGAGCCGACCGATGCGGAGGTGGCGCAGCTCACCGCCGAGGCCGAGCAGGTGGCGCTCGCCGAGTGCAGGAGACGCGCGCAGGCGATCGGCAACCCAGAGCTGCTGGTGAACCCGCGGCCCCTGGTGCTGCCGGGCGGGGGCGCCGCGGCGGCCCTGGCGATCGCGCCCGTGGGGCCGGCCGTGGGCCTGTTGCGCGGCGCTCCTGTCGGCGCTGCCGCTGCGCTTGCTGCGGACCCCGCGGGGGTGTGGCGGGCCGCCATGTGCGAGGGCGGGTACCGCGTCGGCGACGAGGTGCCGGGGTCACCTCCCCACGGCGGCCCGGGTGCAGTCGCGGGGCATCCACGTGCTGCCCGACGGCACGGGCCTGTTCGTCGAGCTGGTGCCCCCGTCGGGGCTGGAGGCTTTCCTGCGCAAGGCCGTCGATGCGGACGCTCGCATCCTTCCCATCGCGCGCGACGCCCAGGGCCGCCGCGACCTGCAATGGAACCGCATGGTGGAGATGACCCGTCAGGAGGACTTCGGGAGCGACTGGACGCTCCCGGGGCCTAGGACGGCGGCCTGGCGCATGCGCTACCTGCAGCGGGAGGGGCTCGGCATCGAGGGCCACCACGAGCACTTCCGCCAGGTGTGCAAGCTGGGCGCGAGCGACTGGGGCGTTCAGGAGCCCTTCCAGCGGTCTCAGCAGATCAAGGCAGCGACGTGCCAGGACCAGTTGGATGGCACCAGCTTGATCAGCATAGAGATGAAGTTCCGGAGGCTCCAGACCATCGAGTTCGCGCACTGGGACAAGGCCAAGGACGCCGAGAGCAAGGGGGTTGGCGGCAAGATGAGCTTGGAGGAACAGGCCGACCTCCACGGTCATGGCGCCCCCCGACCTCATCGAGCACGTGCGTGCAGACGTTGAGAAGGAAGCGAAGTTGCACAAGAGTTTGCGCCTGGCCCGCGAGGACAGGGAATACAGGCGCAAGCTTGGTTGAGGTCAGGTCCCGCGCTGCCGTCGGAGGGGGCGACAGCGCGTGTATGCAACCCCATCCATTCCGAGCGAGGTCATGGGCCTGCTCATGCTCAAGACGTCTGCGGAGAATGGCGACGTCGTGCACGTGACATCTTTCCATTGTCGTGCCCGAAGGATCGCGAGGTCTTCAATCGGGGCGTGGGCCGTGGGCTATCCCGTGGACCGCGGCAGCGGCTGGGCAAGCGTCTGAGTGTGCATAGCGATGTCCTGAATGCCGTGGACTCCCTCAATTGGCTTCACGATCCGTCCGTTCGTTGTGATCGTGACCGCCATGCAAGCTATGTGGGTCCGTCGCTCGCCCAGAGCAAGTGCTTGAACCACATCGAGGTTTCGGTGCAGGAACTTGGTCCTCCGCCTGCCTCGCTTTCCCCCGCAGAAGCGCTTTTGCAGCTTCGCGTGGCCGGGGGCGCCTGCGCCGTCGAGCAGTCGTCCCTCGGGAGCTACGACCCCGCGCTCCTCTCCTTGCCTGACGTCAGTGCGGCTCCTGTCCCGCTGGCAGACGCGCGTGTGTGTGCGTGTGTGCGCGTGTGTGTGTGTGTGTGTGTGTGTGTGTGTGTGTGTGTGTGTGTGTGTGTGCGTGTGCGTGTGCGTGTGCGTGTGCGTGTGCGTGTGCGTGTGCGTGTGCGTGTGCGTGTGCGTGTGTGCGTGCGTGCGTGTGTGTGTGTGGGGGGGGGGGGGGGGGGGGGCGGGCTATCCCAGGTCGAACTCTTCGTTCAGCAGAGCCTGCTCAGTCCGAGCGAGGCGGCGGCGTGCCCCCGTCAGAGTTCTGCGCCTGCCCCCTACTCCGACCCAAGCTTCGCGACCAGAAGTGCTGGTCAAAATTTGTTCAGCTTTTGCAAGAGCGCCATCTTATCGAGCATGCGCTTGAGGGTGGCGAGCATATATTTTTTTGTCAAGAAGAAGGGCGGCCGCCTCCGGATGGTCGCTGACTGCCGCAAGTCCAACGAGGCGTTTAAGGAGCCCGACGGCTTCAGGCTCGCCACGGGGGACGCGTTCGGTTGCCTCGAGATGCTCGATGACGACAGCGAGCTCACCATCGAGGGCGCGGACCTGAAGGACGCGTTCTACCTTTTGGAGTTGCCGGAGGCGCTCCGCTGCGCTTTTACTCTGAGGCCTGTCCGTGCTGGGATGATGGGCGTCTCCGTGGTGGGCACCAAGAACGTGAAGGCCTCCGCCCTCCTGTGCCCCAGGCTCCGCGTCGTTCCCATGGGCTGGTCGTGGGCTGCGCGGTGGCGCCAGTCGCTCATGGAGAGGGTGGCCGAGGCGAGCGGCTGCGATGATGCCTCTCGCCTTCGGGATGGCCGCCCAGCCCCGTCACTCAGCCCAGCCTGCCATGTTGAGTACGCGGGCGACTGCGTCAGCATCGGCTACGACGCGGACGTCGTCCGCAACAACGTCACGAGGATGATGCAGGAGCTCGAGCGCCGCGGCCTCGTGGTTACGAGGGAAGCTCACCTTGGCGAGGTGGACGGCGAGTTCTCCGTCCTCGGGTGGACCCTCTCATCCACGGGCCGTTTCTCGCCGTCGGCGTCGCGGCTCTGGCGCGCGAGGCTGGCGGCGCGAGCCCTGGTCCGGAGGGGCCGCTGGTCGGGGCGAGACCTGGAGCGGGCCATCGGGCACGCGGTCTTCATCGCGCTGGCCCGGCGCGAGGGCCATCCAGGAGTGCTACGACCGAGAGGTGGCGCTCTGGAGCCAGGTCAGGCAGGAACTGCTGGCCTGGGATGGCGTTGCCCCTCTGTTGTGGCGTGACCTCCGCGCGCCGTGGCCCCCTTCCGTGGGCTGCGTGGATGCCTCTCCCTGGGGGTTGGGCGCCTGCGAAGCCGTCTGGGAGGTGGGCGCGGTGCGGGAGGTGGGTCGCCATAGCGAGAGGTCGCGCTATGGCCGGGCCGAGCGCTTGCCTCCACGTCGGCGGGCACGCGCGGCTGAGCTGGCGGCCGAGGGGGCGGCTGGCGCGGCCGAGGGCCTGCGCGCCCCGCTGGGCGCGCAGATTCCGTCGGGATCCAGCGGGCAGCCGCTGGGTCCGCCTCTTGAGCGCGACCTCAGCCAGTTTCCCGAAGTTCCCCGGCGGGTGCTGGAAAAGAGGAAGTGGCTGGTCACGGGCAGGAGGAAGCGGGGTCGTCTCGAGGGTATGCCCGTCCTGGAGGCGCGGGCCGTTCTGCATCATGTTCGTCATGCTCTCCGAGCTGTCCGCAATCGCGGGGAGCGTCTCCTCGTCCTGGGTGACTCGCTGTCTTCCGTCACGGCGACTGCTAGGATGAGGGCCCATAGTCGCGCCAGCTGAGTATCATGCGCAAGATCGGGGCCCTCTCCCTGGCTTCGGGGAGTTCGTTCAGCATTCGCTGGGTTCCTTCGGAGTACAACGTCGCGGATGGCCCCTCCAGAGGCCGCGGGGGCCCCAGTGATCCCTCGTCCGTCGTCCTCGAGGAGCCCCCCATGGAGACCTCCCTCGCCCAGGACCCGCACCAGGAGCCCGTCTACGTCCTAGGGGGGCAGGAGCGTCGTCAGCCACATATTATGCAACGGCATCTACCTTCACATCAGCATTCACGTCGGCAGCGAGCTGGTGCGAGCAAGCCCCCCGGTCCCTGGAGTTGGAACCTCTGTCGAACACCCCGGGCCTGGACCGCGCCTTGGACCCGCCGAGCCCCACCTCGAGCCCGAGCCGTGCGTCAGCATTCATGGCTCGAGGGTGCTGCGTCTTCTTCCATGTGTTGCGTGTTCTACTTCCGTGCATCACCATCCTGGTGCAGATGGGCGCTCGTGGGTCCCTGGCAGCGGGCGGTCTGCTGCAGGTGGGGGCTGGGAAGCATCCGGCGGCGCGGGCCCTGGGCGGGGCGAGCCTGCCTACGTTGGCCCGCCAGCGTGGGCCAGCCAGCCCTCCACCGGCGCTGTTGCAGGCACTTCGTGTCCAGACGCCAGTGGCTGCGCCCGCAGCGGCCTCCCTCGCGCTGGTCCAGCGGGCGCGCCTTCTCGAGCTGCCAGCTGGGATACTCGTCCTGAACGCGGCCTCGGTGCGGACTGGGGCTGGGCGCCAGGCTTTCACCGACATGCGCAACGGGTTCGGTCAGGGGGTCGAGCAGCAGAGGAGGCTAGTCTCCGCTCCAGCGGTGCTCCCCGACCCCGCCCGCGACTACCTTCATCAGACGTTCGAGGAGGGCTGGCATCAGACCCACGCCAACCGCATGATCGCGACAATGGCGTGGCACGACCCCCGCTTCAACGAGACGGGGCCGTTCGACCTGGAGCTCCGGGCGTTGGTGGGCGCTCGGCGCCTGGGGGGCGCCGCGGCGAACGCCTCCCCCTTCTCCGCCACTCAGGCGGAGGTCTCGCGCGCCCGGCGCGGGACCAGCCAGGCGCTCAGGCTCGGCGCCGTCGGCGCCTGCCTCGTGCACCAGGCCCGGCACTCAGGCCCCAGCCGCGACGTCGCCGCCGACCTCCGCGACCTCGAGCAGATCCGCCGCCGGCGCCGCTGGGAGTCGGGGGGCCCTCTGCTAAGGTACGAGAAGGGCAGGCGGCCCGCCGAACAGATCCGCAGGCTGCCCAGTGCACAGCGGTGGCACGCCGCGGCCTGCGGCCTCGCCCTGCCCGCGTGCAGACGCGGCCTGCCCTCAGCATTGGCTCCAGTCTCCCCGACCCAGGGGTGATCCTGGACCTGTTCAGTGGCGAAGGCGGCTTTGGCAGAGCGGCCGCCGACCTGGGTATGCTAGTACTGCTGTAGGATACATCCCTCGGCGAGCAGTACGATCCCTCGAAAGCTGGCAACAAATCCCTGATCTTGAGGTGGACGCGTGCTGGGCGTGTGAGAGGCTGGCATGCTGGCATTCCTTGCAATGCGTTGACGCCCTGCCGTGATCACGGGGTGGGAGCCCCCCCTGTCCGCTCTGACACTCACCTCCTCGGCCTCCCCTCCCTCAAACCTCACCTCCAAGCCATCGTTGAGGTCTCCAATTCGCTGAACAGCTTTGTGGCCACTCTGGCCTGCTTGTCCATCGTGATGCATATCCCCTGGAGCGTTGAGAAGCCCAAGACCTCTCGGCTGTGGCTTCTCCCAAGGCTCAAAGCGCTCCTTCAGGCGTAGGTTTGTTATTTTCCTGATTACCTCCATGTGCCAGTGGGGGGCCCCGTGGAAAAAGGACACCGGGCTCATGATGTCTGATCTTGAGCCCGGCAGCTTTCGAGACTCAGTATGCTGTGGCTCGCGTAGAGGTATTTGCTCGCGGACGGGCCGACCCCACATCCAGGTCCAGGGTTTCCTGCCCGGGGGTGGGTTTCAGACCAAAAAGGGGGCGGTTGATCCGCGTAAATTATGTTTTGCGCTGGCCAGATATTTCCACAGCGCAGAGGTGAGTGCCTCTGCTCACGTGATCCAGCAATCTTTGTCTAAAGAGTGTGCCCATTAATTTTTCGGCGTTGCCAGCTTGCTGCTGCATCTTTGGCGCATCTTCGGCAGTTTGTATGTATGTGAATGCTCGTGTTGCTCGCATCCAGTGCTTGAGCTCTGGTGGTGCGGGGCCGCACCTCGAAGGCTGGACCGATACGCTGCTCAGTCTCTTGTTATCGCTGGCAGTAAAAAGGCGCACAGGATTGTCGTGATTTCACGTGTTTCCGTCGCGCCTCTGATCCGCCGCTGTTTGGGTCGCTCAAGTCTTCCTCCTCCTCCTCCTCTCCCCCACCCTCTTTCAGGCAGCACGTTTGCTGCGGGCAGTTTGTATGTATGTGAATGCTCGTGCTGCTCGTATCCAGTGCTTGAGCTCTGGTGGTGCGGGGCCGCACCTCGAAGGCTGGACCGATACGCTGCTCAGTGTCTTGCTATCGCTGGCAGTAAAACGGCGCACAGGATGATGATGCTGATGATGATGATAATGATGGTGATGATGCTGATGATGGTGACGATGCTGATGATGATGATGATGATGATGATGATGGTGATGGTGATGGTGGTGACCGTGATGGTGGTAGTGG